AAAATAAATAGTGAAACAACAGAAGTCTTTAACAAAATTAATGGTGCAACCAAACCAGGTCCTCTGAAGGAAAACTGTAGGAACGGGACAGGTTTAGTCTTGAGAAAAGAAGACTGATATGATAGCCCTTTTGAAATACTTGAAAGGTAGTCCTACAGAGGAGGCCTAGGATCATCCATCATCTCAGAGTGCAGGACACATCATCATGGGCTCAGACTACAGAGAGACAGAATTAGGCTGAACGTTCGGGAAAACTTCTTGACTGTTAGAGCAGTATGATAATGGAATGGATCACCTCGGGAGGTGGAGAGTAGCGCCGATGCTGGAGCCATTCAAAAGAAAATCAGAGAACCATCTGTCATATGTTCATTTATTTAATTAATTTATTAGATTTATATACCACCCATCTAGAACGTGTCTACTCTGGGCGTTCTACGGATGGGACTCAATGGCCTTATCGGCCTCTCCCAATGCCATTACTGTATTCTATAATTCTCTGATTCTATGACGGGGGGCGGGGGTAAAGGTTTTTATCCACCTATTTTCCATATGCGTTCATTGTGCAATTCAGAAGAGAAGAGAAGGGAAGAACGGAGATGTGAAAGGGCTCAAGGACATAATTAGAGTGACTGTAAAGGAAAATCTAGAAGAAAAAAATCCACACCAGAAAAAAATGGAATTTCTTCCAGTCCACTCAACCAGTGGTTTCCCAACTTTGAGGAAGCCAGGTAAGTGTTCTTGGACTGCAATTCCCAGAAGGCTTCAATCCTAGCTGTACTGGCTGGGGATTCTGGGAGTTGTAGTGCTAGAACACCTGGATTAACTGAGGTTGGGAACCACGGCGCTATATCTCAAGGGAAGAGATGCAGACTTGAAACTCGATCGGAGCGCTTTTCTAAAAAGCTGTACTGCCGGAGAGGTTATGGGCCCGGCCAAGGTTTCGCCGCCTCTCCGCACTCGTCCCTCTGTCTAGTTTGGCTTGCGGGCAGAAAAGACCCCCCAGCGCTGGTCCCCATCCGCACACCGCTGCAGTTTCTCCTGCCATCCGGAGGCCATGGACTCAAACTCCTCCTCGGAGAACTCCTGTGTGGGGAAGGAGGGAGGGAAAAAAGAAAACCAGTTACTGCCTCAAACTGCAGTCATGCAGGATGGTGTGCAAGCTTTTTTACCACACTGCACTCTTCTTTTGGACGGACAAAGATCTCTGCGAAATTCAAAAGCAGCCCCTTTCTCTTCGGACCCATAACTAGGAAACAAGGAGGCAGAAAGCATTTCTATTTCCCTGGAGTGCAAGCAAGCATCTTTCCTTACTCAGATGCCTTGCATTCCACCATCATCCACCACAGCGTGAGGATAGTCCTACTGCTGAATGTGGTGGTTGTGACGAACCTGCCTTTCCAGTGGCAGTCTACCTCCACAACCAAATTGCTAAGGGACACAAGCAGGAGGGAGCAGTTGTTAGACCCTGGCCACTATGGGACGCCAAGTCACTGGATGAGGTGGGTCTCGAGTAGGGCTTTGCTTCTGTTCCTGTACAGACGGAGAGGTTAAACTATTCTGTGGTTGGATGTGGTAGGATTTTTGAGCTGTTTGGCCATGTTTTTCTTCCTAACATTTCGCCAGTCTCTGTGGCCAGCATCTTCAAAGGAGAGGAGTTAGAACTCTGTCCGCGTTCTGGTGTAGTGTGTGGGATAGTTGAGTATTTGCAGCTGTGGGATCAGCTTTTTGTCCATTTCAGACAACACCCATCAATCACAGGGACAAATCATCTCTCCCCCTTATCTCTCCCCCACGATACACTTATAAAAAACAAACACCTTGATCACCCTAATCACCCAATCTCCTGAAAAGGACAAAAATTTGATCCCACAGCTACAAATACATTATAGTGGTGCCTTACTTAACGACGATAATCCGTTCCAGGAAAATTGCTGTTAAGCGAAAACATCGTAAGGCGAAATTAAAAACCCAATTGAAACGCATTGAAAACCGTTCAATGCATTCCAATGGGGTAAAAACTCACCGTCCAGCGAAGATCCTCCATACAGCGGCCATTTTCGGTGCCTGTATAGCAAGGAATCCATCCCTAAGCACAGCGGGGAGCCATTTTTGAAAACCCGACAATCAGCTGTTTTTGATCATCGTAAAGCAAAAATTGGTTCCCGATCACCGCTAAGCGACATTCCCCCATTTAGACCATCATTTTGCGATCGCAATTGCGATCTCAAAAAGATCGTCGAAAAGCAGGTTCGTCATAATGCGGTGCAATCGTTAAGCGGGGCACGACTGTACTCAACCATCCCACACACTACACCAGAACACAGACAGAGTTTTTCATCTGGGGCTCTCAGTGGTTGTGGGGCATGCTGGCTTCCAGTGTGGCCCTGTTGTTTTGGGGGAAAGGAGACTGGTCCTAAAACACGCCCAGTGGAACATCCATCCTGCCTTTGGAGCAGCTCCAAAGCTAATCTTGCTCTGTTCGTCCAGCCAACCTGAACAAACGGCTCCCGGCTTCTCTCCAGTTGCTGCAGCTCCTCGGTCAGCGCCGACACCATCCGCCCTGTATGGTCCAAAGCCCGGACCTGCACAAATCCGGCATCCTGCAGCTCCTGTGGGAAAGCAGGCGGAAGACCCAATGGGAAAGTTTTTTTTAAAAAA